CTAGAGAATCTTCCATATTCTACTAGATTCTTTCCAGAATGGCTTGATGCTGTAATACACTCCCAAATCCTATTTTTTATCTATTTTTTCAAGAGCTCAATGTCATGATGGTTTGATGAAGGCAGTTGGGTAAAATGTCAACAGTCAAATGGAGGCCAAATAATGGTGCTCGAGTGGAGTTCTAGGATCCTTAGAATCTCTATGCTCTATTGAATCTCATGTTAAAGTTAGGTGATGGTAATCAAAAGGTTGGGTGACAGAGGTTAAAAGATAATATTTTAGAAATGATAATTGTAGGATCATAGTTAGAGTTTGATGTTGGAGGTCATCCAATTCTGATGGATGTAAATGGATTATGGTTTAAAAAACATGGTTGGACAATGGTCCAACAATGGTGATTAAGCAATGGTCTGATGATAGTAGTTGGATAGTGGTTTAACACCAATGATCAAACGGTGTCCCATTAATTATGTTCGAGTGTTCTAGAATGCTTAGAGCCTTTACGCTCTATTGAATCTCATTCTAGGTGGTGGAGCTTGGAGAATCATAATCAAGTGATGATTATCAGAGAAATTTAGTCAGGTGATGGTGGTCATATTATTGTGATTAGGTAACCATAGTTAGGTTATAATTGTTAGAATATCATAGTCGAGCAATTTTGTTTAGGTGACATTTAGTCGAGTAATAGTTGTTAGGAGACTATAATAGGATGATCATGGTTTGATGTGTAATAATTCAAATACGAGAAATAAATTTTCTTGAAAAATATGAAAATTCTAAAATTGAGTGCTTTGGTGCTGATCTGGTGAGTGCGGCAACTCTAGGCCATGAAATACATATGTGCATGTATGTATGTATGTATGTATGTATGTATGTATGTATATCCTTGTCTCACCCCACCAACTCCCTCACTTGGTTACTTGGCCATGAAGAAATTGAAAGTGGGGAAGAAGATAGGAGAGAGAAAGGTCTTTGGATCATATTTGTCATCCATTCGTGTTATAAATTTAATTTTTTCACTGTAAGTGACTAATAACTTACTTCTGTTTTCAATGACTTTGATTTCTATGAATTGTATCTCTCCTAAATCTATCAAAAATGTATTATCTCTTGATTTCATAAGCTTTCACCCTGCAAGTTTAGGTAAGTTATAAATTTGATCATTATGAATGATTTAATATGATTCTATTTCCTTTTAAATGAAGTACTGAATGATATCAGATACATGATATACTAACCTCATGTGATACCATATTTATCCACATGATTCACTAATTAAGAGTCATAAGGAGTTGAAGATTAATTAATAGTTATAAGAAATCGGGGCAACTGATTCATGTGATTCAATGGGAGTTAAAAGGAGTACATTAATTGGGAGTTATAAGGGGAAACTGAATGTGAGTCATAAGTGCAAGAGCAAGATATCTTTAAGCAAGTGTCCATTTTGCAAACCAATTTCACCAAGATTTTCTAAATAAAATAAGTTATTTTATGAATATTTTTTAATAAATTTTAAAATCCCTAAAAGAATTTATATAAATTTATAGTGAAAAATTATTAAAATATTATTATTAAATTATTATTTTTCCTAAATATCTAAATCCACATAATAACTTCCTAAGCAACTTAAACCCATCAGTTTCATGTTTCTGTAACAAGAAAAAAAATGAAATTAAGAGAAAAAGAGAAGGAGAGAGAAAAGCTTGGTTTTGATGATCGTAGAGCAATATTTGTCCATTGGCTCAGTTGAAAATTTTGTTTATCTCGAGGTAGGTTACATTTTGCCAATTTAAGATTTCAATAATTTTGTATTTTTTTAATCAAATTTGTATTTCTATTATTGAAAAATGATGATAACTTTGTTTTTTTATAACTTTTAGCATTTAACTTTTGATATGTTATAGAGATTGTGATTACAAACATTTTGAGTATATTCTAGAAATTTTTCTCCATTTGATTTTAAAAAGTAGAAATTTTTGCCTACTTAGAAATTTATTTTTACATTTAAAAATAGCCCTTCGATTCAATTAAAACTTCATAATGATGTTTTACACAATTTGTGGTAATTTAGTTATATTTGAAAATTATGTATTTTTACTCAGTAGTATTCATATTGTCTATTATTGGTACATTTTAAAAAATTTTCAATTCAACCAAATTACACTTTAATTTATGAAATACATTGAAAAATATATTATGAAGTGTTGTGATGTAATACCTGTGCCAGTGGGCGGCCAAGGTGAGATTGTTTTATGTAAGCGTCAGTGAGTGATCGAGGTGGGATTCTATTATGCCGATGCTAGTGGGCGAGCAAGATTGGATTATCTTATGCTGATGAGACTCTGTTACATAAGTGCTGTTATTTTGGAGCCAATGGGTTTCCAAGGTGGGATTCTGTTATAAAGTTTTTACTTATAATTCAGTTCATTTAAGTATTTATTGAATTGCATTTAATTTCAGTATATGATTCAGCATAATATTCTCAATTCTTTTGATTTTGGTTATAAAATTTTATTTTATGCTACGATAGTCTACTGAGTCGTGTTAGCTCATTCTTTCTTTTATTTTTATTTTCAGGCCCAAGAAAGTGTATGGAGTGAGCTGAGCAGTTTGAATAGTATGCTCTGATCTATATTATAGGTACATTTTGGTTAGTTTTGATTTTTAAAGGCTTGATTTTTATTTTAGTTATGCTCTCTGTTGCAAAGTTCTGTTGTAGATATATTTCATATTATATATTTTTTAGATAATATATAAAAAATTATGTTAAGATTCAGTAGTCTCCTGCTTTATATTGCATTCAATAGTGGTTGTATAGTATATAAATTAGAAGATTTATTTCAGTACTTCTTAAACTAGATCATTAGGGTTAGTCTTGCTACAAACGGATACGATTTGACTTGTGTGTTATTAGGTCATATCAGGTTAGGTTATAATGGTACTGATATTATGACCGTCACTAATATTATTTATTTACATTAACAATGCTTAACATTATTAATCATGATACTAATATTATTACTTGCATTAGTATTGTTGACTATTATTGATATTGTGACTGATAATCTAATAAATTGAAATATGATGAATTATAGAAGGATATATTGATACATATAATCAATATAGACATTTATGCATATATTTTCTTATATAATTTATAGCATATTATTCTCTTTTATCTGCATTGATTTTAGTTGAAATATTTTAGTTGCTGAGCTATGTACTCTTCACGTGGTTTTACTTATTTTCAAGAAAGGGTAAGGATCCTATGATACAAGGCTCTGGACAAGACAAAAATGTAGTAATATTTTTTATGTTGTTCATTGGTATGCTCTAGTTAAATAGTTATTTTGGAAGACGTATATAATTCTTCTAATATTTGATTCTACAATGTGGCACGAGGGATTATTATCAGGTAGCAATGGGGACTATAATCTGGTAATGTTGGTCAAAGGGATTGTAACAATGTGCCATAGTCAAAGGGTTGTAGTTGAGTAATAGTGTTAGAGGGGGAAATAATGGTCAGGAAACCTTAATCAAGTGATTGTGGTTGGCAAATCATATTCAAGCAATGGTGATTGATAGATCATAGTTAAAGATGATGGTTGGTGGATCATAATTAGACAATGCTGGTAGGAGGAAGAAAGTAGTAGGTAAACCTTAGTTGGTGATGTTGGGTGGGGGATCGTAGTTTAGGGACAGTTGTTAAGAGATTATAGTCACATAATGGTGGCCATTGAATAATAATACTATGGAAACAATAGTTGAGAAACTATAATTGATTAATGGTTTTCAACTAAATATAATCAAGCTATGGTGATTAGAGGATCATAATTTTATAATGATGGTTGAGAAATCATAGCTAAGTGATGGTGGATGATGGATCATAGTCAGGCAATAATGGTCAATGAACCATATTCAGACCAAAGAGATCAGAGATTATAGTTAGGTAATTGTGATAAAAGGATTGTAGTTGAGTGATAATGATCATAAGACCATAGTTAGGTGATGATAATTAAAGGATTGTAGTGTTTGACAAAGGTTGAAGGACCATATCCATACAATGATAGTTGAAAGATAGTAGTTAGTGTTTGATGATGGAGGTCAGCCAATTCTGATGGCAGTGATTAGATGGTGGATTAGTAATGATTTTCCAACAATGATAATTAGACAATGGTTTGATGATGGCAGCTGAGCAGTCATTTAACAATGATGGTCACATTGATTTATCAATATGATATGAGAATTTATTGTCTTATACAGTGTAATAATTTGCAATGAAAAATTATTAGAGGTCAACTCAAACTTTCTTGAGTAATATTTTGACTATTATGATGTATCATTTTATATGAATATAAATTGTCATTACTTTCATGAAAATGGACTATTTATAAATGTTATGCCCATGACCATGAAATGGTTGAGAATATGCAATTTTGTAAAATGGTTTTTAGTTTGTGCATTTTAATGGATTCCTCTGCGGGAGAATTTTTATCACAATTTAAAAAAAAAAATTAAAAGAAAATATTAGAAACGAAGCCCGAATAAATTCTTATAAAAATTATAATGAAAAACTATTTGTTATAACATGCCATTCTTACGCAGTTTTTTTTTTTTTTTTTGTCAATCAGAAGTTCGAGTGAACAGTCATAATCTTTTAGATCTATAAAAAATTTTGTTAGTAATAACTTATTATAATGAATGTATACATTTTAATTTTTCAGGCACTATAAAAGGCATCTGAACATAAATTTTTCTGTGTTATAATCAAATTTATTTCTTAGGCTCTACATATTTGTCAAGCCATAATAAAACAACTTAATTAGTTTATTAAAACTGACTGAAGGCAGATTAATTTAAACTAACACATACATTTGAGGAATATAAGAGATTTCACTATAAGGAGTCAGGTAGATGAAAGCTGGAAGGCAAGAAAGGAAACCATTATTCAACAAAAAGGAAGATTGATATATAAGCAAAAGTGACATGTGCAACTATGATGGCTTGAAAAATTCATTAAAATCATTGGTTATGTACATCATCACAGAAAGGAAGAAAGCTCATGGAGAAAAATAATCATGAGTAGTTGAATCATGAATGCTAAGTTGTTAGTGTCATTTCTAGATTAAAAAAAAAAAGTGTCATTTCTACAATATTTAGCTTCAAGGATCAACCAATATGAAAATTTGGTTAGAGCAATGTTGTGCTTGTGAACTACTGGCCTATTCAGATCATGAAACTAGAACCAAAAAATGTCTAATACTATGGCCTCTGCGAAGAAATACAGTCGATGAAGCTCCTGTCCCTCAGAGCAAGCTGCAATTATTTAGATGTCATTTTCTTGCTCCATGAGATGAGTATAAATTCCAGCCATTGTGCAAACAAACTACTCTCAAGCCTTTGACCAGTTCCTAGATTGGTTTCTGGGCTTCCGAGTTAGTGGCCGTTGGTTTTGTGACGGCTTTGGTAGATCATGGAGCTCCAAGACTTGTATTTTTCGTTGCTTCTTCGCTGCACCAAAAGAATATAACTTAGCTTAATGTATCGGCATCAGCAATGAAGCAATCAAGTTAAGAGCAGCATATATAGCAGCCTACCATTTTCTATCCGTTGATATCCTTCGTGAAGCTTCCTCTTCGCAACCTCCAGTTTTGCCTCCTCAGAATTATTTGATTTCTGCATCAAAAATCGATAATATAAATAATAAAAGAGGCATAATTCCCGAACTTATAGTTGTTCAGATCTAATACTACACTTACATCTTCTGGAGTGTTCGAAGGCTGGACTCCAGATAAACGACTACTGCATGGTCTTTGTTCAAAAGCTGCTTTTGATGGTCCGGCAAATCGAGAATCAGATGTAGATGGTTTGCCCAACCTGTTGACAATGCCTGGAGGCTTTGGTGGCACACCAGGAACTGCATGAGGCTTTTCTTGCCGAACAACAGACTCCTTCTTCATCTGTGCTTTCTCTTCTGTAATATCCAGTTTTTGAGGCGGCTCTTGAGTCTTCACTGGGCTGATGCTTTCAGAAACCATTCGTCCAGCATCTCTGGTCTTATCGAAGTCCTCTGAGACCCTAAAATCTGCAGAAAAAAATCATAAAGTAAAGCTCAATACATGGCTGAAAACAAGATGTACATGTCGTAAAAAAAAAGTTATAATACTTACTTCCATCTTCATCCATCCCATCAAAGACCTTTAAAAAATCAAATTGCATAAAGAAAACATAGAAACAAGTCAGATACATTAAAAAACAACTGTTTCAAAATTTCATCATTAAAAAGTAAGTGGTAAATGCATGGAAGCCAGACTTTTTTTTTTTTATACCTCAGAAAGCTGGATGGTTGTAGTTTGAGTGACGAATAGTGCTCCTTCATCCATTGGAGGAGAAGGTAGGCCCTCTTCCTCATCCCCGGCAGAGGTATTAACACGGGAGTTTTCTGAAGGTACATTCAAAGAATAAGTTCATCTATCTTCTGAACAAGAGAGTTGCACAAAAGGAAAAATAGCTTCCTTAATCCCATGTTATGAACTTCTTACCAGCAATTGCAGCTGTAGCTGCAACCCACTCATCTACCAACACTTTCCAATCGCTGCAACAACAAAAAAATACAGATGAAATGAAGCAATACTCAAAAAAATGGTTAACATGTGAAATAAATCTATGATAGGATATTGATAAACATAATTATTTCAAGGTAAGCACATAACTGTTTGACAGAGAATAAAATTCTTCACTCAATACAAACAAAGCCAAACAATATGCAAGTACAGTCATCCTCTCATGCGCATGAAAAGCAGAATTCAGGTTAGAGAATAGAAAAATGATAATTAAACCTATCACTGCAGAAAATCAAAGCCCAGACAGTTACCGACATCACACTTACACTACTGTTAGGCTAATGTACAGAAAGATGCTAAATTATCTAAAAAATATAGGCAGAGGATGTGAGAAAATTAGCGATCTCAGATATTCTTAACAAATCAAGCGTAATACAACTGAATCATAACGGCCAAAAAATCAAACCCAATCTTTCAGAAACAAGGGCAAAGAGTTGATGAATAAATTTACAAGTAAGCAACACAATTCATTGACAAAAAGGGAAAGAAAATATGTTTGACTCGATTGGTTAAAATTATGCGAGAAACTCACTCAATGAGAGTACGAACAAGGTTTCGAATCTTCTTGGAATTGTGTTTCCGCAGACCATTCACCGCCCTTCCAACTTCAGTTGCCTATAATAAAAGAGAATGCAATCTTATAAACAAAAGAAAAAAAGCCTAAATTGAGCTGATTCTCCTGCACTAAGATATGCAAATTTAAACAGATAAAAAAAAAGAGACTCATTTTCAAAAGAAAAAGAACAAAAAAGAGAACCAGGAATGACAATATAATCCATACCTTAAGTGTTTCAACAGAAAGTTGCATTAGCTGCAGCTTCGTCAACGATTCATACAAGACATCATCAGACTGCAAAAGAACAAGAATTGTCATTAACAGTATAATTAAACACGCCAAAACCAAAAAACTGAAGTATCACAAAAAAATTGAGTAACAGAACACTCAAAACTCGAGAGGGCGGAAATGGCATAGAAACCTCTTCTTGCTTGTTGCATAGGATCTCCTTTATCCTCAGAACCTCTCCAACCATTTGTCTCTCCTCTTCTATCACTTCTGTGAGCGCCTCTGCTTCATCATAGCTATAATTGCTTATTCCAACCCTGCTTAAATCCTCAGGGTCACAGTTGCAGCTATCGACCTTACTATCTTTCTCTCCTAATTCCCTCTTCACGCTCCTACACTCCTCCTCCCTCACATAATGACCATCTTCAGATCCCTGGACTTCAACACGGTTGCACCCAAAGCACTTGGAAAGTTGGGAAGTGAAGAGACTTTCAGCAATCTGATCTCTTCTGCACTTAAACTCCTTAGGACAATCAACCGCCGCCACGATGATGGCTTTCTCGATCAACTCAAAAATATCAGAACTAGCGGTACGAAAAAACTTCCTCCAGTACTCCAGCGAGCAAGACGACTCCCCCATGGCTACGAACAACGATCGCACAGATCCCGCGAAAGAGAAATGAAACAAGAACGGGTTTTTTCACAAACTACTCGACGTCCAGAAGCAGTTTTTTCAAATACTTGTATACCCTTCCACGATCAGAAGCAGTTTTCGATCGAAAAGAATAAAAATAGAGAAATCACCGCCTCGAAGTAGTTATTTCGGGCAAAATAGAATGATCAGTTCGAATTTATAGTTCAGATAACATATCGATCTTTCCACCAGCAAGTCCTTTTTTATCGCAATTGACCCAGCAAATCCGCCGAAATGCAGAATCAATCAGCAACGGCATGCAGGCTCTTCGGAAAATCCTAAGGCCACATCTTCCACTCCAAGCTCAAATTTATCTTTCCGAAAATTTTCCCTCGCTCTGGCTTAATCCCGTACACCGAATTAAGAGAGAGAGAGAGAGATGAAGGGAATACCAGGTCGAGAGACCGCGGGGTAATCTCGTGAAAAGAATGCGACACAATTTCCAGAGCACCCAAAGCCCACCCAGTTACCAGCACTTCGGAATTTTTCTATTATAATTTTTTTCTTAACACCAAATAAAATCAAAAAATAATTCTTGAAATAACGATTTTCCGTTGGAACATCAAAATCGGGATTTTGAAACTTTTTAAATTTTAAATTTATTTATTGCTTAACTGATTCATCTTATAAGCGAAGCACTTTTATTATTTTATTTTGAATTTTTCTTCTAGATAAATCGTCTATTTGGGGCTTATTAAATAGAAAATGTCCCGTAATTAAACTAATATAAAATAACTAGTTAAATTATTCATATTTATTGATTATTGCTTTATTTCTTATTGTATTTCGTATGGAGCATAAGAAAATTCAAATTTTTCATTTGGTACAAACAATCCAATTTTGTGATTTTATTATATTATATGTAATGTAAAATGCTTATATTTTTATGTAGAATTCTAAGTTGCTATACATGTATCAGTAGAGCTTTGCATATAAAAAATATAGGATTTTATTAAAAAAAAAAAAACATCTCGTTAGAAATTATATTAATTTGATTAAAGAAATATAACTATTATATAATTTGTGTGATTGCATTATGCAGCCAATTCTATAATGTCCATATTAATCATTGTCTATAAATAAGGGGTCATTTGTCAAGTACAGACAATTGAAACTTCCAACATTTTGAAAATTGGATTGGATCGGTCAATTCAATTGGTAACCGGCCAAGTTGTGTGTCCAAATAAATTTGAAAACAATGCTTGCATCAAACCGGCTCGAACCGATTTGAACCGTCGGTTCGACCAGAAAACTGTGGAAGTGATCCTGATTTGGTAGAACCAGTACCGATTTGTAGAATCGGTCAGTTCTATAAAATATTTAATCTTATTTTTATTAGATATGGAGATGAATTCAATCATAATATGTTTTAATTTATAAATCCTTTTAAAATTTTAAAAATATTTTTATTTGATATAAAGATGAATTTAGCTATAATATATTGATGTGGGGCGTGGCTAACTGAATGTGTGTATGAAATAGAATATACATTGGGTCAATTAATGTTTAGATTTCATTTGATATATATTGTCCACTAGATACACAAGTATACATGTTGATCAAGTAATAAAGTGATTGAGAGAGTGTCAATCTCACGAGAAAGTGTTTTGCTATATTACAATTAAACTACTTATGTCTACTAAAGATGCAAGATTTATCATACTGAATGAAAATCAAGGGTTTTGGATTCTGCCACTTACAAAGAAAAACCAAAAGATAAATGAGATATCATATATTAAAATTATTTTAGACTAATGTATGTAAAACAAGAAAGTTTTTCTAATGAGACTCTTAAATATTGATGTGAATCTGAGCATATATATATTCATAAATTTCTATCAATCTTGTATGGGTTAAAAGGGAGGTTTATAGCCTTCCTACAATTTTAATATCTCCATAAAACCTAAAAGGTTTAACATCCTATGTCTAGGCATCCGAACATTCAATTATAATACTACTATTTATTTCAATATTTTTCTGTCAAGGTAAAATATCATACTAAATATTAACTATACACATGGACATTGTATGCATTAAATTAAGAACGGGATATATTGAAAACTTCCATAATTTTAATGTGTTCATAAGATTAAACCAAAACTCAAAAATTAGCAAGACATTACAAAAATACAAAGTAAACAAATCTTTATTTCTTGCATAAAAGAGAAGATACAAAAGACAAAATAAGATAAATTGTCACTCGATTAGTACAAATGTACACTCCACACTCTTTTCTCCTCCAAGTATATGATTGCTTGTAACAAGATAGGCTAAGATCTTTTTAAAAAGTATATTGGTCTTCCCTAACCTTCCTTAAACTTGGAGGAGAAAAGAGTGTGGAGTGTGGAGGCTCTCACGCGGGGGCGGGCCTTGGCGAGGCGGCTAGGCTCTCACGTGGGCGGGCTCACTGTTGGCGGTTGGGCTAAACCGGAGCGGAATTGGGTGCAGCGGACGGGCTGGCTAGGCGGGGCTGGTCTAGTTCTTTGGATATTTTTTTAAAAAAAAATTCTTGACTTTCCGGCAGAAAAAAATATGCCGAAAATATTTTCCAGATGAAAATACGCCGAAAATGTTTCCGGCGTATTATTTTGCGTCGGAAGGCCTTTTACGACGCGCGTCAAACCGGCAAAAATATTTCCGCCGGAAATGCTAATTTTCGACGGATTTTGGCCAATTTTTCGGCTAAACTGTCTGCTGGAAAATGATGTTTTTTCTGTAGTGCTAATAATATACATAAGAGATGAATGAATAAGCTCCCCAACATTAATAGAGTGCCCCACCTTAATGGAATAATTCAAAATAGTCTGGTCCTTAGTGACTTCACTAATGTTTCTACTTGACAAAATATGAATATAAATGAAATAATGCCATGTTTTTGAAAATTGGGTCAAACAAATCACTAGAAAATTAATTACCTATATATCTATTTCTTTCCAAACAGCCCCACTGAAAGGTTTACAAAGTCGTCTCAAAATCTTTTGATGGTCAATGGGTGCTAAACTAAAGCTATAATAATCATCATCTTCCATATCCCTCAGCTTATAAAGTTGGCTAACAAACGAGGGATAGAAAAAAAAATCACTTACCCTGTACATAACATTTGTTATTTTGAGCCTACTTAGCGCTGGCAAAAAACTCGCTAACAACATTAATAATAGCAGCAAGAGTTCCTCACAAAAAGCTTCCCAACCCCGATTCACATTTTTTTCTTTTAACCCCAGTTCACAATCATATGCATAAAAGAGTCATAAAGATTAAACTACAATATCAAGATCAAAGCCTTCAATTCATCAAGAGAATAAGGTCAAGGAGATTGTTATCAAACAAATAATCATAATCATCTACAAAGGACCTTGATATGGAAAATTATTAATTTAAATTTAAGCTTAAAATTTAAAATTTTAGCCCAAATTTTGACATTTCAAACTTTAATTTCTAATATTGTTGCGTACTAGATTATATGAGGCGGTAGAGTTTGTGAATTCGCGTCCGAGCGTTGCACGAATATTCAGCACACAAAAAGAAAAGAGAAATGAAAACCAAGATTTTTACGTGGAAAACCCGAAATAGGGAAAAAACCACGGGGCCTCGCCCAGTTGTAAAGTTCCACTAGTGTTCTTTTGAAGTACAAAGGTTGATCCGTCTTACAAATCAAGACGATCAGTTTGCAATCAACTTCTCACAAAGTTACAAAGTTCTGCAAATTTCTGGCGTTTCCCAAAAATCCGGTAGAGTTCCGGCGTCTTCAGGCGGTGGGAAGAGCTCCGGCGGTGGTCGAGGAGGATCTTCTTCCTTCTCTTCCTTTTTCTCTTCTTCTTCTCTCTCTTCACTTGCCTCCCCTTAGTGAAGAATGAGGGCTCAATTTATAGATTTTCTGGAGTGGCATGGCTTGTAAATAGGTGTGAGATCAGGGGCGAATAGGGAGTGGTCGAATGGACGGTTGATGTTGAACCCTTCGATCACGCACCATTTGTTGGACATTTGAAGGCGTTAATGATGTCGGATTTAAGCGATCTTGGGCTCGTTGGATTTGTCTCGTCGAGCCGTTCGATTCGAGTATAAGCTCTTTAAAATCGGAGACCATTTAATAACTCAAATTGTGGTTTGAACCTTCCAACAGCGCTTCGGGTGCTTGATTTGGGCTCATTTGGACTCAGATTGAGTTGAATTTGGTGTCGTTGGGTTTGTATTTCCGAGACGCTCAGTTTGACTATAAGCTCGCTGAAATCGGAGTTCGGGTGCTCCCAAAATTAAATTTTGAAATTTCTGAGTTGGGTTTTGCCTCGAGATTCGTGCCGATCAAGATAATTTTTTGAGAATATATCAAATATAAATGTAGAAAGCTTTAGATTTGTATCTCTCTTTCTTTACTATGTGTTGGGGTTCATTAGAAAGCTAGCATGGCTAGCTTGGACAAATGGGGATATAAAATTCATTTTTTTTCTTAAATCATTCTCCTTTATTTTAAATTTCGACTCTCTTTTTTTTTTTTTTTTGAATTTCAAAATTATTGTCCATGTGCACAATATGTGCCTAAAAAAATGAATCAATATTAGATTTTGTTTTCTGAGAAAAAAAATTGGAGAACTTACTTTCATGGGGAGGGAGTGTTGTCCAACCCTTTGGTACTTTTCAATGAAAATTAGCCATCCCTCACTGCTTATTGATATACATTCTGAAGTGAATGACAACAAGTAAGAGAGAGATAAATCAGGGTTATTTTTTTAACTTATTAAACAAGTGATATATAAAATGTTAAAATTCAAAGTCAATGATTAATTCATTTTATAATTTTTTTTTTTAATTTTTTGACAACTAATGTGATCACAAAAGTTCACTGAATATAAATACATTATATTTTCTAAATTACAAGATAAAAAAATAAATAAATAATAGAATATAACGGAAAAAAATTATTGTGAGAAACATATAGATTCATGTGATCATTCAACAAAAAAAATGAAATAGAATTTTGAAAAGAAGTATAGAAACAAGCAAGAATTTTTTTTTCCAAAATGGAAAAATCAACATACAAAAAAATTAGATTTTTTTTTTTGGAACTTCATTCATCTTCATTACTACATCACCACACATAAATCATCACCTCTAGTATAGGAGAAATTATTTTGTACGCAATCCGAACGTGTTCGGATGTGCGTACACACTGCTTATTTGTTGCGTTTTTTTTTATACATAATTTTTTCTACGTATTTTTTGCATATTTTTTGTGTATTTATTGAGTATTAATTATTTGCTACTTATTTTGCCACGAAAAAATTATGTATAAAAAAATACGCAACAAATAAGCAGGATGTACGCACATCCGAACATGTTCGGATTGCGTACACAATAATTTCACTACAATAAAATTTAAGGACAATAAATTTCTCTGAAGGGTAAAATTGAACACCTAAAATAG